TCTCTCTGCGGGTTCTCTGTGTCCAGTTTATGCAACAGTCCAGGCAAGAGCAGTTTCTTGCCCAAATGGCTATCAATCTCCATAAGGATCCTCTTCGATGCCCATCTTCTTCCTGGAGTAGATTGGTGCTGCCAGGAGCAGACATGTCTCATTGTTATGAAAAACCCTAAGTTATTCAAACATTTTAAATGCCATATTTTTTAGTCTTTGAAAGATATGAAGAATGCCTATCTAACTGAAATACATCTAGAAAATCTAACTACATGACTACAAGCTTGATTATTATCGATGATTATCCATTAACAACCTGTATTTCCTACATTACATTTTTAAATGAACTACACAATCACAATACCTAATCAAGATCAGAAATACATATACATATAACAAGACTGACCTTAAATTTATACCAATGTAAATTATTCATATCTATATCAACTGGGAGATGTTCATATTTCTAAGTGCCCTGTTTACTACACCTTTGACGGCTCACTTCCACTTGTAAAAGTAACTGAGCACAGTATTCTTTGAACTCTGTGCTACTGTGGTGGTTTGAATGTAACTTACCTCCATTAGCTCACACAGAGTAGCACTATTGGGAGGTATGGCTTTGTCGGAGTAGGCAGCGTGCTGAAGGAAGTGTGTCACTGTAGGGGTGGGCTCTGAGGTCTCCTTTGCTCAAGCTATGTTAAGTGTGGTACAAAGTTGTTTCTGTTGCCAGGGGATCAAGATGTAGAATTCCCAGCTCCTTCACCAGCACCATGGCTGTCTGCAAGCTGCCATGTCCCACTATGATAACAATGGACTAAACTCCCCAAACTGTAAGCCAGCCCCAACTGAATGTTTTCCTTTCTAAGAGTCACCATGGTCATGGTGTCTCTTTATAACATTTGAATCCCTAAGACATCTGCAATAACAAATAATTCTTATGGTTATTTGTATAGAACTTGGGTTCTTTTTCATGAAACTAGGCACTTTTCCTGTTTTTAATAAATCATGTTTTACTGATAACTTAGAGCTTACAGAAACAATGGCAAACCCCTCTCTCCATCCTTCCTAAAGCCCACTGAGGATAAGCATCCCTGAGACACCTCACGTGCTCTTACATCTGTGGGGGAAAAGCATCCAGAGGGTTTTGTGGAGTAGTTCAAACTTGGAAAATGTCCCAATTATACTGTCCCTGTAGACCAGGCCCTACATCATTTTGGGCAACTGTAACTAGACTGTAATTAGTTGTTAGCTAAGAGCTACTTGCTCTACCTCAGTTTAACTTTAACATTATTCTCAGATATATCTTACTTAAAATTCTGTATTGTCCACACATCTAAAATGTCATATGATTATAAAGTAAATGTGACATCACTCAATCTTATTTACCTATGCTTGCTTACCAACCTCCTTTTCCACACCCTCATCCTTTTGACGAATCCGCATTCCCCTTTCCTTTCTTCGGGCAGCAGTTCTTAGAGTGCCTTTTTACAAGACCAGCGCTCTCACCCCTGAGCTATGGAGCCAGCCACTAAATGCCCTTCTCTACCTGTAAGACTCTTAACTTGCCATCTTCAAGACACCAAGCTCAAGCAGGTCACCCTCTGTGAAGTCTTACTAGAGCTCAGCTCTGAGCTTTGATGGTAATTTCATGACTTGCCTCTTGTACACTATTATAATACAATCACTTACTATTAATGTCTACACTCTCCATGACACTGACAGCTCATAGGAGCAAGTGTGTTACTCCTGCTGTACCCAGGACACAGTAGGCATTCTACAGATATCAGAAGAACCTGCGGTGCCACACTTCCTTATCAGAGAACTTTTCCCAGAAGGTATACTCTCTAATAATGGGGATCAATTCCACTAGCCTCTACAATTTAGGGGCTTAAACAATGGTGACGACGAAGGTATGTGTAAAAGAAGTACGATAAAATCTGGAGTTTAACGTTAGGAAAAATCATTTAACAAGAAAAAGTCTTACATGTTCTTCACTCTTCAGCTGTCTTACTCCCGACTCTATGACCTTAATGTTGGGAAAGCGATTTTCCAACACGGTACTTGGCTGTTCTTCAACATCAAATTCTTCCAATACTTTAGAGACCTTTACGAGATCAAACAAGAAATGCACATTTAAACTTTTTTTTCTTATTCTCAATAAAAAAAAAAAGAAAAAAAAATAAATAGAGCAGCAACAAATCTGGAAAAAAAAAAGGAAAGAATGGATGTAGTGTCAGATGAAAACTCTAAGTGGGAAATAATCTTTTTTTTTTTTTTTTTTGTTAATGTAGCTTTACGTGGCTTATCACATAGAGGGGTCAATGACGACGACAATGAACAATTTTAGTAAGTTCTTTTTTCAGTCCTCCAAACTTAATTTTGAGACACAGAACTATAAAGTACATAAATGGGCTTTAGTATGATAATTAAACTGGATTATTTTCCATTTATTTTGTTTCAATATTCTTGAACACAGACAAAATTTATCATGTGTAAGGAAAGTGGAATTATCTGTCTACATAATAAGTAATTTTTAAATTGCCAAGTACGCCATCTTATTCTCTCCTGGGCATAAATACATATAAATAGTCTTCTTGGTGCCAACGAAAAAAAAATGCACATTTAAAGAAGGTATTTCCTTTGTCCTATACAGTACTATTTCATATACACAAACACGAAGGTTAGCCCACTGCATTTAGGGCACCTATGTCCCTCAAAGACACACAAGTTAAAGGCCTGGTAGTCTCGGTAGGAGGTGGTGCCTAATGCAGGGACATCAGGCCCTTAGATCTCGGTGCCTCCTCTCTGTCCCAGCCTATATGAAGTAGGCAGCTTTGTTCTACCACATACTTCAACTGTGACACTCAGCCTTCTCACAATCTGGAAAACAATGATCCACCTAATCATAGACTGACCCCTCTTTCATCCATGGCACTGACTACCCGTAGGAGCAAGTGTGTTACTCCCACTGTACGTCAGGACCTTGTGCTGTACCCAGGATACAGTGGGCATTCTATTAACACACTTCCTACTAGAACTTTTGGTAGAGGATGATACTCTGTATTCTGTCATGGTGACAGCTTGTAGTATTAGGAGCGGAGGGCCCCTTGTTCCATCGCCCAGCTAACTTATACCCGAAATAACCACACAGAAATTGTATTAATTTAATTACTGCCTGGCCCATTATCTCTAGCCTCTTATTGGCTAACTCTTACATATTCGTTTAACCCATCTCCATTAATATGTATTGCCACATGACTGTGGCTTACTGGCATGAGTCTAACCAGCGTCCATCTTGGGTAGAAGAATCATAGCGTCTGCCACACTGCCTCCCAGAATTCTGTTCTGTCTACTACACCCACCTAAGGGCTGCCCTATCAAAAAGCCAAGGCAGTTTTCTTTATTCCAATAAAAGCAACACATAGAAAGAAGATCCTCCTACACCATTTCCCCTTTTTCTGTTTAAACAAAAAGGAAGGCTTTAACTTTAACATAGTAAAATTATATATAACAAAACAGTTATCAAGAAGAATTACAGTCACAATATTTATATCTATTTTATCTTTTATCATAACTAAGGAAAACTATAACTATCTATGTATTCTTCAACTCCATCAAAGACTCCAGAAAGATATAATATTACCTAAGTAAACAAGAAGTAAGCAACTTCCGAAACTCCAGAAATGACAGAGACATCTCGCTGCCTGAACAGTCACCCAAAGTTCTTTTGTTGGGTTGGGGCATCCATCTTCAGCCTACAGGCCCATAGTATCCAACAGACATTTCCATGAAGCAGGAAATTTCAAAGGTAGTTCAGTCACTTTCAGTCCTATAGAATGTCTCACAGACTCTTTCATGAAGCAGGAACCCTGAAGGACCATCTCACCTTTAGGCAAGTTCAGCAGTCCACTCTCTGCAGGTTCTTCATGTCCAGTTTATGCAACAGTCCAGGCAAGAGCAGTTTCTTGCCCAAATGGCTAACCAATCTCATAAGGAGCCTCTTCAATGCCCATCTTCCTCTTTAAGTAGCTGGTGCTGCCGTCCAGGCAAGAGCAGTTTCTTGCCCAAATGGCTAACCAATCTCATAAGGAGCCTCTTCAATGCCCATCTTCCTCTTTAAGTAGCTGGTGCTGCCAGGAGCAGACATGTCTCATTGTCATGAAAAGCCCTAAGTTATTAAAACATTAAATGCCATATTCTGTAGTCTTTGAAAGATATGAAGAATGCCTATCTAACTGAAATATATCTCTATATATCTAGAAAATCTAACTAACATAACTACAAGCTTGACTATTATCGATTATCCATTAACAACCTATATTTCCTAATTATACATTTTTAAATGAACTACACAATCATAATACCTTAACCAAGATAAGAAATACATATACATATAACAAAATTGACCATATAAAATTAAATTTATATCAACAAAGCAAAATTTATACCAATGTAAATTATTCATATCTATATCATATCTCCCTTTAAATGTAAAAGAACATTTATAAACAATATCCGTGTGGTTATTTTGGGTGTAAGCTAGCCAGGCAATGGAACAAGGGGCCTGCTGCTCCTAATACTACAGAGAGTGGTGCGGGAGAATTGTCTGTATTCTGTCAATCATATTTTAAATAAACGCTGATTGGCCAGGCAGGAAGTATAGGTGCGAAAACCAGACAGGAAGTAGAGGCAGGGTGAAGAACAGGAGAATGCTGGGAAGGAGGAAGCCCATTCCTCCCCAGTCCAGCCCAGACCACTGAAAAAGCAGGATGTGACCTGTCCCGCTGAAAAAGGTACTGAGCCATATGGCTAACATAGACTAGAATATAGACTAGAATAATGGGCTAACATAAGTTATAAGAGCTAATATGAAGCCTGAGCTAATGGGCCAATCAGTTTATAATCTTATGGAGTTCTCTATGTGATTTTCTCTGGGACTAAACGGCTGGGGGGCCAGGCGGGAAAGAAATCCCAACGAGCCCAGCCTTCATGTTACTCATGTTACAACAGCTGATTAGCACAGTAGAATGAGGACTGGGCTCAGCATCGTATGCCCTGAGCTCAACTGTCCTGTCACTTCTGTGCTGTGGCTTCGTTGTTGCTGTTCCTTTGGTTTTTGTTTGTTTGTTTGCCTCTAAAAATGTCAGCTAACACAACTTATTTTACTGGTGTTTAATGGAACAGTCAATATATTTTTTTTAATGTATTCTGGCTTCTCTGCTCTCTTTACCAGGTAACTTTTTTGGTCATCGTTAAACCTTTCTGCTCCGTTCTTTAAAACAATCACTATCTCTTTGGATTCCCTCTGTCCTTTCTTGCTTAGATTCTTGTAGAGTATCCACAGTCCAACCCTTTACTTCTCTGCTGCCCTATTTTCAGCCACAAACAAATCCGCAAACTTGTATAGCTCAACCTCCCTAGTTTGTGTGATGGAACCTGGCTGCAAACATTGCATGAAAATCTGATCGTATGAGTTGTAATTTCAAGCCTGTCTTCAGGAGCTTTTTACATTTTTCTGAGTTAACAAGGAACCCAGAGACATATGTGAACCATACATAGTGTTATTTACCTTATTAGAGATAAAAGTTAAGAAAAACTTCAGAATTTCCTAATTCAGTTAAAAAAAAACTGTATCTAATATACATTGAACATACAGAATTTTAATGGAAAAAGCTTCAAATCTCCCAAAACACAACAAATTCAATGAAAGAGCAGTGTTTTACATCTCAAAAGCATTAATTGATCCACAATTTTTCTCACCTGCTTGAAGTTTGTAACTGCTTTGATAACAGGAGAGGCTGTTACCAGGAGAATGTCTTCTTCAGGAAAGGTAACAGCCAGCTGAATTTTAAAGAGAAATGACAGGATAAAAAATATTTTCAGCTATTACTGAATTGATGCCAGTATGGTGATAATGCTATCTAACTAATAAAACTTCAGTGTTCCACATGTGAAAATCGGTTATCCTGAGTTTATAATGGTGCGGCATTGGTACTGTTAAACTCTGACAGTGCTGAAATAAACAATCTACTCATGTTAAAGGTGGACAAAGACCTGGATAGGCAAAATCACTACAGCAGTCTTTGGTTGACTCATTTCACATACTAATTTAAAGTTATATGCCTATTACAAACTGCCTGTTTTCATTTATTTTAAGTTAATGTTTTTACTTTGACTTCACCGAGAATAAAATTAAAACAAGTCTCTGATATTACACAGAATCGTGGCATGAGTTTTCCAAAGCTTTGGCACTTTGAAACTTTTGGTTTCAGAGAGGGAAAGACAAAGCCATGTTAACATTAGCTTAAGAAAGTGCAGAGACTTAATGTGCTGTTGTTTTATTATTTCCACTTCTTCCTCACTTTGGAGGGGGAACACTTGTTCATCTTGGACTCTACTTCTCTGCCTGCTATTCCTCACAGCCCATAAAGCTGAGTAACATGTAACAATTAACACACCCTTAGGACACGTAAGCGTCCTTTGTCTCAGCTTATTTGAACTTCCTCTATTTGACAATATTGTCTCTCCCCCATCTTTGTTTACTTTTCATATTCTGCAGTCTATCTGCAGTTCCATTGCTGGATCAGGTCCTCAAAACTATCCTGAGAACCATCTACAAGTTAGCCTCCAGGCTCTTACAGCTTTCAACCGGTTGCCACTGTCCCAAACACTAGCTAATTAACACTTGCTTTCATTTGAACACTTTTTTGCCACAGCTCAAAACCATTTGTTTGGAGATTTTTGTTGAACTCTCGGCATGCCATAGAGCCCTTTAAGGTCTGAGCCCAGGCAGTCTTCCTTGCTTCTGTCTCTCCTGAGCTTCAAATCAATTAGGTCATGCTCTTCTCCACTGAAGGTCACACCGTGGCTCACGCTATTCTTCTCTATCTGCTGAAACCGTATTATGTTGCCTAGAATAAGAACTCTTGATGTGTAAACAGAAGATGACCTCCAAAGATTAAAACCTCAACGTATTTAAATTAATTCTATTTCTTGTGACTCAAGTGGTTAGTTACAGCAACAAAATAATCTAGCCCTTTTTGTAATACGACTCATCCGATTCACTTGCTTATCGTAGGCAGAGATTCTACATTTGTATGCCTTTGACCCAAACTTTTGCTGGAGATGAAAGCTTATCTTGGGAGTTCAAGGTACTATGTTAGAATTACTTTATTAACTAAGGATTTGACACCTACCAAGAAACTAAATTTTATGTGTGAAGGAAATATGACAAGTGGGTGGATTTTCTGTCCAAATTTGCCGGTTTGCGCACCATTCCGCTTGGAATTTGGCTTGGCTTTGGCTTCCCAGTTAATCATGGGGTTTGCCCAGGCCCTCGCAGACCAGGGACTGAAGGCTCCAGGAGCCCCGAGCGCAGCATTCCACCCATTTGGCCCCTAGCGCTCCAGGAACCCCCAGCGCTCCATCAGCCTTGAGCACAGCATCCCTCTCACTTAGCCCCTAGCTCTCTACAAGCTCCGAGCGCAGCAACCGGCCCCTTCAGCCCTAGCGCCCCATGAGCCCCAAGCACAGCATCCTGCCCACATCAGCTCCTAGCGCTTCATGAGCCCCGAGCGCAGCATCCCGCCCACTTGGCCCCTAGCGCTCCATCAGCCTGGAGCCATCCCTCTCACTTGGCCCCTATCTCTCCGAGCGCAGCATCCCGCCCCCTTCAGCCCTAGCGCTCCACGAGCCCCGAGCACAGCATCCTGCCCACATAAGCCCCTAGCGCTTCAGCTTCATGAGCCCCGAGCGCAGCATCCCGCCCACTTGGCCCCTAGCGCTCCAGCAGCCCCGAGCGGAGCAGCCCGCACAGCCGCACAGCGGAGGGGCGTGGCAAAGGCCGGAAGACCGACCACCGAAGGGGACCAACCGCAACCTCCTCCTAGTCCCCAGCCTGCGGAGTCCGGAAGAGGCGGAGCTCGCGCCCACGAACCTGCTCGGCACATGTGACGCCGGCGATGCCGCCTCCCACCACCACGAACGGCCCCACCGATCGCGCGGCCTCCATGTTCCCGGGCGGCTGGCGACCGACTGGGTACCGGCGACCTGTGACCTGCGAGCCTTCGTCCACCCGGAAGGGAAGCTGCCCTCATAGTCACTTCCGGCGCCTGGTCCACGGACTCTGGACTACGGATGCCCGGAAGCTTCATACTTATTCCATTTGAGTATTTACCGCGTAACTTGTATTTGAAAGCTTGGACGTGTCGCAGCCTTCCCGGGTTTTATAACTGTTACTACACCCACATCTTAAACTCTCTGTGGTAGAAGCTGCCTTCGAAGATCTTCATGCAACCCTCTCTTCTTATTCTGTAGGGGAAGAACTCTTAGCTTCTGGAATCGTCTCGTTTGCCTCCCTGCACTTTGCAATGGGAGATTTTCATTTGAGGAAGCATGATTCTTTATGACAATCAAATACTATCGAGTTGTTCAGTAAGAAGTTAGCCTCCAATTCTCAATTTTGAACTCAGTAAAGATGTGCAGTAAAATAGAATTGTTTGCCACCTTATACTATGGACATTTCAGGTATCTAAAAAAAAAAAGATTATCTATCTATCTATCTATCTATCTATCTATCTATTTGTTTGGTGTTCATTTGTATGAGAAATGCCTTTGAGAAATGGCTGAGTTATTTCCAGGTTTTTCTCTGTAGTATTCTCCATTACCTTGCCTTTATCGTTGTGGTTCCATGTCTTATCTAGGTAGGAATCTTACTGTTATATTGAGGTATTTCTCAGTTGACGTAGTCCAGTACCGCTCTTTTTTGATGCCCTTTGATTCTTTAACCTCTGAGGATAGCCATTATAGGAAAACTTGCATATCTAATTATAGATATTTTTCTGCTTCTAATCCCTGTTCCTTGCCCAGTTAAATGTGCACATTTCGCTGCTGGCGTCTGTTTCTAGTTTAGACAGCCTGCTGGCAGGAAATAGTGCGTTCTGTTTGCTTGGCCCTCACCTCCATCTTTTTACAGAACACTTACTGCTTTCAGCTTTGACCGACACTTAGCTCCTGGTGCCCGTTGCTTTCTTTCCTCTCTTGGCATATGCTTTCTGCAACTGAGGAAATAACTTTAATAACCTTAAATTAGCAAAAGGAGTTGTCTCTATATATCCAAACATATCTTGTGGTCTTCTGAATTTCAACCTACCCAATTTTACTTCATCCCAACTCCACCAGCGTCATAAGACCCTTAATTCTAACCCAGAAATTGTTGAGCACAAAGTTACAGAAACGTAAGTTATGTGAAAACAAAAGCAGTATGTTATGAATAGCTCATATGAAGAAACATCCCTTCCAATGTAAGACAACATTCAATTTAACAAAGAAGTCACAGATAATCATCTTTCTGACCTACACATTTTTTGTTTCACTTCTGTTTTACTCGTCAACATAAATAGAAATATTAACCAATATTCAAACTGCATTCATTTATCAGTTGCTATTATGCTCTACCTAGAACACAAATAAAACAACAACAACAAAAGACAGTGAAGGGATGTTCAAGAATAAAAATGAATGGATTTTTTTTGGAATTTACAATAAAATAGCAAAAAGTATTGTAATATATATGTATATATATACACATATATATATAGTCTTTATAGGCACAGCACACTCATGCTACACAGACACACATATTAAGTAAAAACACTCATACACAAAATAAAACTAATTTAAAAATGTATACTGCTACGCTGCTAAAAACAGTTCCTCAGTTTTTAAGAAATTTTATTGTGTGTGTGTGTGTGTGTGTGTGTGTGTGTGTGTGTGTGTGAGTGTGTGTGATGGATGCTTTGCCTGCATGTATGTATGTGTAGCATGTGTGTGCAATGCCCGCAGAGGTCAGAATAGGGCATTTGCTTGCCTAGAAATGCAGTCACAGATGGTTATGAGCTGCCATGTGGGTGCTGGGAATAGAATCTGGGTCCTCTGGAAGAGCAGCCAGTGCTCTAAACCACTGAATCATTCTCCAGACCTTCCTGGTTTTCTCAAGAATTCTATACAACATGTCTCTGTGTGTGAGGATCATCTGTCAATGCCTGCTATAATCTTTGATGACTGTCCATCATAAGTTTTGAGAAAGGATCTCTCATTGAATCAAGAACTCACCAATTCAGCCTAACTGACTAACTCCTGAGCTCTAGTGATTAGCCTGTCATCCCCAACCCTGAGTTTGCAGGAGTGTACTGTTCCACCCAGATTTAGGGCTCTGGGGGTCCATACTTAGGTCCTCACGCTTGCATGGCAAGCACAGTATCAACGGAGCCATCTCTGCAGTTCATCGTTCTCACACCCACCTCCTCCCCAGGCTCGGGGATCACTGTGAAGAGAAGCGGGAAAGATCATAAGAAGCAAACACAGTGAATGCCTGTGCAGAAATTGTGTGTTAGAGACACAACAGAGCGGTTGCACACACGAACTCACAGAGATCATGACAGCATGGAGTGGGAAGGTGTACAAGAAGTTCCACCCCCTAGTGGAGGAATTATCAGTAGCTGATAGTTATTAAGAGCAAAGTTAGCTTTCTTTAAGAGTATAGTTTTATGGTGATATTTAAGATATTCATCAGTCTGAGTACAGGACAAGGCAAGTTCAGAAACCCTCTCCTCTATTGCTTAGGGTCTTAGCTAGGGTCATCCTTGTGGAGGCCTGGGAATTTCTCTAGAGCCAAGTTTCTTGCTAACCCCATAATAACTCCTTCAATCAAGATATCTCTTTCCTTGCTCTCATCTCTGTCATTCCTCCATCTTGATTATCCCATCCCCTCAAGCTCTCCTCACCCCTCCCTTTCTTCCCTCCTCTTCCCCTTCCATTCTCCTTTCTCCCCCCACCCTCATGCTCCCAATTTTGTCAGGCGATCTTGTCTATTTCAACTTTTCAAGTGGATCTATATATGTTTCTTAAGATGGTGTTCACCTTATTACTTAGCTTCTCTAGGATCATGAACTATAGGCTCAATATCCTGTGTTTATAGCTAGTATCCACCAGAGGGAGATTATGTGGGATTCCCCTCTGTATGCTGTGAATACTGTTCGTTAATAAAGAAACTGTTTTGGGCCTGCACAGAGCAGGATAAAGGTAGACAGGGAAAACTAAACTGAATGCTGGGAAAAAGAAGGCAGAGTCAGGAGATACCATGTAGCCGCCAGAGGGGAAAGATACAAGTTGTCAGCTGGAACCTTGCCAGTAGGCCACAGCCCTCATGGTAAAATATAAAATAATGTAAATGGGTTAAGTCTAGATGTAAGAGCTAGCTAGCAATATACTTAAGTGATTAGCCAAGCAGTGATTTAATTAATATAGTTTCTGTGTGATTATTTCAGGAGTCTGGGTAGCCAGGAAATGAACAAGTGGCCTCCAACTACAGGCAGAGACCCACATAGGAGCACTGGACTGAGCTCCTGAAGTCCAGTTGAAGAGTGGGAGGAATGAGAATATTAGCAAAGAGGTCAAGACCATGGTGGGTACACCCACTGAAACAGTCTACCTGAGCTAATGGGAGTTCACAAACACCAGTCCGGCTGGAAAGGAACAAGCATAGGATCAAACTAGACCCTCTGAATGGGGTGACAGTTGTGTGGCTGGGGAAGACTCCAAGGCCACTGACACTGGCACCAGGATTTATTTCTACTGCGTGTACTGGCTTTTTGGGAACCTATTTTCTTTGGATGGATACCTTGCTCAGCCTAGATGTAGTAGGGAGGGCCTTGGACATTCCCCAAAGCAATGTGCCTTTCCCTCTCTGAGGATTGGAATGGGGTGGGGTGATGTGGGAGTGATTTCTTATTAATAAAGAAACTGCCTCAGCCCTCATAGGACAGAAAATTAGGTAGGCGGAGTAGACAGAGGAGAATGCTGGGAAAAAGAAGCTGAGTGAGGGAGTCGCCATGATGCTCCCGCTCCAGACAGACGCAGGTTAAGATCCTCTCTGGTAAGCCAGCTCATGGGCTACACAGAATATTAGAAATGGGTTAGAACAATATGTAAGAGCTAGCCAATAAGAAACTGGACCTAGCCGGGCCAGGCAGTGTTTGAAAGAATACAGTTTCCGTGTAATTATTTCTGGGTATAA